GCAAACTTTTTGTCATCTACCGAACCTTTTTTTGAGGTTCNATCTGTAAATAGGATACTTTCAAAATAATTCAGAGGAGATCGCTCAAACATGAACTCTTATTAGATTGCTACAATTCATTAGATCTAACTGAAGTTTGTATGGTAATTTTCACTTATCGGAAGGATAGATAGGGTTAACTAGGGACAAACGAAAAGAAGGACATGGTTCGAGTAAAATAAACGGAAGGAGGGTATTGTTAGAGTATAGTAAACGAAAGAAGAATATTGTTACAGTAAAATAAGCGAACAGAGAATATGGTTAGAGTTTTAAAAAACAACGAAAAGTAGTGTATGATTAGGGTAAAATAAGCAAAGAATACAGTAAGGTCGGATCGAAGAAAAGCTTCGTATGCAGAAAAAGAAGATGGAAAAAATAATCTTGTAAAAATCTAATTCGAACTAAAGGTACAGAATCTGGTGATTATATACACAAATGGACCAATACTAACACAGCACTCTCATTGAAGAAAATTTATAAATTTTTTGCTTTTTTACATGTGAATCCAAAATTGCTTTTGAATAAAACAGAATTATATTTGAAAAATATATGTTATTAGCTATGTTTCGAGTGCCATCTATCAAAGAATTTTGTTTTTTTCAAAAAATAATTCAGACTCATCCAGAAAGACCTTTCAATTTATAATAGAAAAAAGAAGAATTTTTATAATAAGAAAGTTTATTCAATGATATTACATGTATGTCAAATTACATCTCCTGCATCTCTATTGTTTAATAACAATGGACTTTTTTGAATTACGAGATCACATAGAAGAAAAGAAAAGAAAGTGATGGAAAATATCACACTTCGCACAAGAATTATCAGTACAATTTTAATCACTAAGAGAAAGGAACTAACATAGTCCAAACACTGATTATATAACTCTCGAAAGATTTCTAAGCGTACTATAATTATTCAAATTTTCATTGGAGAACAAAGCATCTAGCGTTTCCGGACGGCCTATACAAGTAGTGAATATTGAAAAGAAATATAAACTTTTATTTCTTTGAAAGAACATTGGAAAAGTTATAAATATATAAATACTATTCCTTTTATTCTATTTTGATCTAGCTGAGTTTAGCGAAAAATTGTCAGTATGCGATAATGCACAACAAAAGGTATTACATTTACCACTTTAAATTATTCCAAATCGAAACAATTTCAAGACTACCGGTCTTTATAGACGTAAAAATATACATTATTTTGATCTCACTAATAAAATTATATTAATAACGACATCAAATAATTTATTGTTACAAATTTAGTCTTTATGTAACAATAGAAAAGATGAAATATTGCTGAATTTTAGTACACAAAAAGTTTTGTGCGATAATGTTGAATTTGGGACAATTGATTTTGATCATCATATTCATGTTAATGTAAATGATATGAATATGGAAATGTATGGTACTATTAGTTTGAAAATTTTTGTTTTATTCGGTATCTAACGTTAAGTGAGCCTAGTTTGAGAACATGTTACTACTTATCTTGAATTGTTGGCTTTTTTTGTATAAAATTAATGCTGTACTTTTCAACATTATTCGAATATATTTTTTATCTTATTATATCACAAAGAGCTGTTCTGAACAGTTATACCTTTTAACTTACATATGTTGACATTCATGCCACCCAACATTTATTCTAGTTAAAATAGATCTCTATTGTATATAAGAACACCTTTTCTAGAACCACATGCATACAAACATTCCTTCAAACGCTTTTCTAAACTATTCGTTTTTTCGAGAAAAAAGCATTAAATAGAACAACGTTGTAACGCGTTTCGAAAAACACTCGTTTTTCAATAAAAGAAGGCTCAAAACGCATTTGAATGCATAATGAACAAACGCGTTCAAACGCATAATACTAAATGCATTCAAACAGTGTTTTTAAGTTGCGTTTTAATTTGAAAAAAAGCGTTCAACATATAAAAGATGCGTTTAAACGCGTTAGAAATAAAAATCAATGCGTTTAAACGCGTTGAACTTAAAAAGGATGCGTTGAAACGCAAAAATAGCGTTTTTTTCCTAAAAGTTTGCGTTGAAACACATTTTTATACAATTTTTTTTTCATGGGAGTCTCATTCTAAGATCTTTGCATGAAGATATAAGTACTTTTTGCACTCTATCTGAATATGTCCTTCAATTAAGCAGGGTATGGATGTGGGTGTCGATGTAGGTCTGGATGTGAATGAAGAGAAGGCTAACACCTTTATTCCCACCCACACTCTCAATTGAATTTGCCTTGATTGTTGAGGAATATTTCATGGATCTTAGAATATATAGATCAGTTGCCGAACAGCTTCATTGGCAAAAATCTTTATGTTCTGAGTAATTTTTAAAAGTTTTGAGTGTTGTGTGAATAAAATACCGGCTGTCTTATATATATCTTTCGCTTTCATTTACCTTTTTGAATCGTTTCGCCCATTCTTGGTTTCGCTCTTCGTTCACACAATAGATATAAATTGTAATGACCTGTGAAAGTTGATGAATACAAGGCACCAGTTCTCGACCAATTTCTGCGCATATAATGAACATGATCTTGTCATCATAATGTAAAGATTTAACATTTTTAAAATGATTAATCAATGTGCGAAGCTTTTGCTGAGCGTCTGCATGTTTGTGTGGGTCACTGGTGGTGCTATCAAGCCAAACAAGAAATGGCGTCTCGAGATTCTCCTTTGTTCGTGTTACTGACGTAAGACTTGCTGTTATCGACTCCATTGTAAGGGTGTGTGTGGGTGTGGGTGTGGGTGGGTGTGGGTGTGGGTGTGGGTGTGGGTGTGGGTGGGGGTGGCGGTGCGGGTGTGGGTGTGNAGATCTAACTGGAGTTTGTATGGTAATTTTCACTTCTCGGAAGGATAGATAGGGTTAACTAGGGACAAACGAAAAGAAGGATATGGTTCGAGTAAAATAAACGGAAGGAGGGTATTGTTACAGTATAGTAAACGAAAGAAGAATATTGTTACAGCAAAATAAGCGAACGGGGAATATGGTTAGAGTTTAAAAAAACGAAAAGTAGTGTATGATTAGAGCAAAATAAGCAAAGAATAAAGTAAGGTTGGATCGAAGAAATGCTTTGTATGCAGAAACGGAAGATGGAAACAATAACCTTGTAAAAATCTAATTCGAACTAAAGGTACAGAATCTGGTGATTATATACACAAATGGACCAAAACTAATACAACACTCTCATTGAAGAAAATTTATAAATTTTTTGCTTTTTTACATGTGAATCCAAAATTGCTTTTGAATAAAACAGAATTATATTTGAAAAATATATGTTATAGCTATGTTTCGAGTGCCATCTATCATAGAATTTTGTTTTTTTTTCAAAAAATAATTCAGACTCATCCAGAAAGACCTTTCAATTTATAATAGAAAAAAGAAAAATTTTTATAATAAGAAAGTTTATTCAATGATATTACATATATGTCAAATTACATCTGCTGCATCTATTGTTTAATAACAATGGACTTTTTTGAATTATGAGATCACATAGAAGAGAAGAAAAGAAAGTGATGGAAAATATCATACTTCGCACAAGAATTATCATTACAATTTTAATCACTAAGAGAAAGGAACTAACATAGTCTAAACACTGATTATGTAACTCTCGAAAGATTTCTAAACGTACTCTAATTATTCAAATTTTCATTGGAGAACAAAGCATCTAGCCTTTTTGGACGGCCTATACAAGTAGTGAATATTGCAAAGAAATAGAAACTTTTATTTCTTTGAAAGAACATTGGAAAAGTTATAAATATATATATACTATTCCTTTTATTCAAGTTTGATCTAGCTGCGTTTAGCAAAAAATTATCAGTATGCAATAAATGCACAACAAAAGGTATTACATTTACAACTTTAAATTATTCCAAATCGAAACAATTTCAAGACTACCGATCTTTATAGACGTAAAAATGTACACTATTTTGATCTCACTAATAAAATTATATTAATAATGACATCAAATAATTTATTGTTACAAATTTAGTCCTTATGTAACATTAGAAAAGATGAAATATTGCTGAATTTTAGTACACAAAAAGTTTGATGCGATAATGTTGAATTTGGAACAATTGATTTTGATCATCATATTCATGTTAATGTAAATGATATGAATATGGAAATGTATGCTACTATTAATTTGAAAATTTTTGTTTTATTCGGTAGCTAACGTTAAGTGAGCCTAGTTTGAGAACATGTTACTACTTATCTTAAATTGTTGACTTTTTTTTGTATACAATACATGCTATCTTTTTCAACATTATTTGAGTATATTTTTTATCTTATTATATCACAAAGAGTTGTTCTGAATAGTTATACCTTTTAACTTACATATGTTGATATTCATGCCATCCAACATTTATTCTAGTTAAAATAGATCTCTATTGTATATAAGCACACCTTTACTAGAACCATATGCATGCAAACATTCATTCAAACGCTTTTCTAAACTATTCGTTTCTTCGAGAAAAAACGGACTAAAAAGAACAACGTTGTAACGCGTTTCGAAAAACACTCGTTTTTCAATAAAAGAAGGCTCAAAACGCATTTGAATGCATAACGAACAAACGCATAAAACTAAATGCATTCAAACAATGTTTTTAAGTTGCGTTTTAATTTGAAAAAACGCGTTAAAAATATAAACGATGCATTTAAACGCGTTAAAAATAAAAATCGATGCGTTTAAAGGCGTTGAACTTAAACAAGGATGCGTTGAAACGCAAAAATAGCGTTTTTTTCTTAAAAGTTTGCGTTGGAACGCATTTTATACAATTTTTTTTCATGAGCAATTTATTGTTAAGAAAAATACTTTACTTTACCTTGGTTGCATGATCAAAAGGAAATTTATTTCATAGATGATTATTCTCTTGACGTTTTTATGTCAGGTTGTTATTATCTTGATGAAAATAGTGTACTGCGTGATTGATATTTTTGATCACGATCACGATTACGATCATGCTTGATCGTGATCGTGATCGTGATCGTGATCGTGATCGTGATCGTGATCGTGATCGTGATCATGATCGTGATCGTGATCGTGATTTTAGTGATCACGCAGTACACTAGATGAAAACAATAAATGGCATTACGACGGTCGTATTGTAAACATCATTTTTTTGCTAATTTATTCAAAAGTAATCTATAAAATATGATTATTGGACAAGCAAATTGAATAATTCTAGATGGAGTCAAAAACGAATTATTATAAAATTCAATGTTTTTCATCACCTTTGGCTAAATGTGCTAGTTGATGGATTGTTATACCTAATCCATTTGATTGGCAATATCTGATCGAAAATGCACAGTGTGGGTATGGGTGTGGGTGTGGGTGGTGGATATTATTCTCTTCTTGGAGGACACTCATACTCCCACACACCCACACCCCATCTACAGCCATAGTCACAATGATATCCAAATTACAAACCCTAATCGATGTATACGAAGAATATAAAACTTATTGAATAAATTATCAAATTTTCGCGTTCCTACCGAATTAATTATCAAACTATGTTTGCCTCCCGAATGAATTATTCAGAAACAAGCAGCAGCGAATGAAGTATGATAAAATATGATAAAATATTTCTGTTTCATTTTCGGTTATTAAGACATGAAAAGAATCAGTGAGCAGCAGTCTTGTGTAATCTTATTCGAATAAATGTGCTAATATGTTTTTCTATATGATTCTATCAATCACAGTGGTACTATGTGGAACTAGCGCTGACAATTGGTCATTTGTTCGTCGACGACTCGAATTATTCAATCGTGACGTTAATGTTCAAGAAGAAAATCAATGGCTTCCAAACAGTGCCAAGATCGGGCGTGGTTATAATCTAGCTAAAGGCGCACCCGTATGTTATACAGGTAGCTGCCAAATGAGTGGATTCGCTCGACCAATTTTTCAATTGAATTATACTCAGCCCACAACAGGATCTTGTATCAACAAACTGATACCGGAAAACGTTGACGTAGATTGTTTGCCCTCGACAGATATCTCATCTAGCACGGAAATTATAAGTACATTACGTCAACTTCAAGAAAGCACAATGAAAGGGATTGATATAACAACAGAGGTGTCTGGGGGTTTTGGTCCTTTTTCAACATCTTTCTCTTATACCCATTCTGAACAAACACGGTCTATGATTGATACTATCATCAAGGAGAATTCTACTGTACTTTTTACTACATTGAAAATTTCTTGGGTGCGCCTCTCGCTCTTCGAACCAAAGATTGATTTAACTGATAATTTTCGTTTTGTAATTCAACATATGCCTTGTTGCGACTACAATGCAGCTGTGGAGGAATATGTTCGTAAGTACATTATCAACTATTTTGGCTATGCATATGTCCATGATTTATTACTTGGTGGCATTGCCCAACAACGTATTGTAATCAGTGAAGCTGGCCGTAGTAAGTTAGAAAAAAATGGTTGGACGATGTCCGATGAAGCGAGTATAAGTTTTTCAGCGGGACAGATCTTTTCAGCAGCTCTCAAGATAAAGACAACTGATAATTACGACAAGGCAAAGCTTGATACTTTTAGTAAATACTCCCAACAAAGCAGTGTTACCACTCTGGGTGGAGATATTTCGCTGCAATCATTCGAGGAGTGGTCCAAAACAATAAAAACAAATCCTATTATTGTAAAATTTGGTGTTTCACTCATATTTGATTTGCTAACCAGCTATCGCTTTCCAACGGATCCAAAAATTGGTTTCAAAGCTCAGCTCATTCGAACAGCGACAGAAATGTATTTGCTGAATCCCCTATATTGTTTTAATCAATGTACAGATGCAACTCATGGTACATGCATTGACAGTGGCTATTTCCAATTTGGCACATGCAAGTGCTACAATGGATGGACAGGACTCGACTGTAGCTCACAAATTGAAGAAAAAGGTATACTTGTATACCATTAATATGGGTTAACGATATGTGCTCGTATAACTCTATAATTCAGATGAATATATGTTCCAAAAGCATTCAACAGTTTCTCTAGTGGCCCTGTACTGAAGTTGAATAAATCATTAGTGTAAATCCTATGATTTTCCGTTTATTTAGAAAGCAATGAAAATTATCTATGAAAGAATTTTCTTTTAAATTTGTCACACTCTACTGCAAGTGTCAGCACGCTAAATGCCTATTCCTGATATATGGAGCATCTACAAAGGACTTTCGATAAAGCTGAATGGAAGCGAAAGAAGGAATGACCATTGTTCGGAAAACCCAAATAGAAGCTATGACTGAAAATGGTACTTTGGCGAGTCTAAAGTGATCGAAGCGTCTCTTATTAGTTTAGCCTGCCAGCTAATAAAACTTTCACAGCTGTTGTTCAGCGAACAAATATTTGTTTCGTTTGTTTAACCGTTTTGATCTGGCTCCATTTGTCCTCCTACTACTACGTGGAGAAAAACAGCGACTTCATTTTCTATCATATTTTATGAGTCTAAATGAGTGGACTGTAGACTCTCCACTCTTCAATTATTTAGATCTGATCCTTTTCTGTTCAAACTCAACGTATGATAGATATGATGGAGAAAAGCAGCAAAGCTCAGCTTTTATCCCTTTTCTCACAAAGATTTATAATATCAAATATGGCAGTATCGATGACTAAAACAATGCTCTCTTGTTAGAACCATTGTATTTCATTAATCAGTTAATTCGAAGAAACTGTTCGAACCCTTATTGATGTTTCCGTCGCAACGTTGCAAGATTTTATTGTCGGAAAATTTACTGTAAAAGATATAGTTTACAAAGAGAATCATCACGATAAATAAAAGCAGATGATAAATCAATGGGATTACCCGAAGTTTCGGGTAAAAGAGTACAAAAAATGATTGAGAAGATCTGTAAGTTTTTTTTCTAGAATCTAAATAGCTCTGTGAAAGTTCCTGATCAGAGCACTTAGCTAGTAGCACCGACTCAGTTCTTTTTCTGAGAAGCGAAACTATAGTGATTAACTTGTTTTCAGATAGGTCCTGGAAAGGCAGTGGTTATAGGATCAGTTTCTAGAGAAGATTGAGGTCTAAGGACCAGCCATCGAGAAATGAAGTGGTAAATGGGCCAGTTCTCGAAAAGAATTATCTCGATTTTGATCGAAAACAAAAAAGCCGAAAGTAAAACTATCGAAAACTGAGATAAACTTTGCTGCATATTTTATTGTTCACAAAATACGCATAGCAGGGATTTTAGTTCGAATCATAGGTCTATTGTAGAAAAGAAAGGAATACAAGACAAATAAGAAATTCTTTGAAACAATAATTGACTGACCTTCAATATGGTTTCTATTGTGAGTAGGTATGAGTATGCGTACGTCAAGAGAACAACTATAATCACACCGATAGCCATACCCACACTGTCGACATTTTTACTGTCAATATTGTTACTTTCGTCCTAATACAGGATCACCTCAAAAAGAACTGATTGTTAGCAGTATGAATTGTCACAGGTTTAGTATATACCGTTTCCTTAGAAAAGATTTTATTGTGAGTTCAAGAGAAACGATTCAATATGGTCTATTTTTACGAGACGTGTTCTACTGATACTTCATATCGAAAGTTTTGTAATCCAAAACGGACAGTGCGACGAATAATTTTCAAACATTTTTCAAATAGAAAGTATTGGTTCAAAGTAATTCACAGGATTTCTTACGATCATTGAGTAAATTCATAGTAGTGATCACCTAGAAGAACAAACAAAAGTTCGCTGCTACTAAGTGAAAACTTGCCTATCCGAATTTTTCATATCATCATATTTTATTCGTTTTTCTAGATTGCATCTGGTCGAATTGGACAAATAATCGATGTAGTGTTACCTGTGGCACTGGAAGCTATACACGACAACGTTTCTGTATTAATCAGTTTGGTTTGAAATGCTCTAGTTGCCCTCTAATCGAAGATGCAATTGGTGCCCGACCTTGCTTTTATCCCAGCTGCTCCACTGGATGACGGGTTGGTTTATCGTTAAAGAATATTTTGAGAATCAAGTGAACGATTCTTCTTATTTTTCACACTTGCTTTTCCATTTTGAGTCTCGATCATTTCATGAGCAGTTGCCCTTTATTTGTATCTGCATCAAAACATAATTTTATTTAACAGATGGTGGGTATGGGTGTCGGTGTCGGTGTGGGTGTGGGTGTTTGTGGGTGTGGGTGTGAGTGTGGGTGGGGGTGGAGGTGGGGGTCTGTGGGGTGTGGATGTGGATGTGTGGGTGTGGGGTTTGGGTGTGTGGGTGTGGGCTTGTTCCTCTTCTATCATCGACACCCACACCCATCCAGATAAATTTACACCCATAGGTATGATGCTAGAGCTGAATATCTCTGATTGCAGTAGAAATGTGTCGGAATGCCTACTATTTTTGGCGATTCACCAAGATTTTCGTTTTTCGTGCCTTAATCAACAAACAGGGGTAGAACAGAGGGTCGAAGAAAAATGTTTCATTATTATTTATTGTTGTGCATGTGTTTATGTTTCCTGCAAAATTGGTCATATCATGACAGGAAAGTCACAGCAAACTCTGTGGCTCATTCGTAGCCCTTTCAGTGAATTGACCGCAATACCATTCACTGATGACGTTATGAACACGGAAGCAGAAGAAAGTATCCAATTCAGAAAAAGCTTTAAATTAGGCGAATAATAGTACAAGAAGAAATCGGAGCTATTATTGCCAGCAAAACTCGAACAAAACTAAGGCTATCATGTCGAAAAATGCGTAAAATGAAACTTCGCCAATAACTGAACAGGGGAAGTGCAGAAATGGTACCATTTGTTCTAGCACTGACTGAAGAGAAGCGCATCGTAAGCAACACAGGGTCAAAACAGACTTGGGTCTAAATTTTCTTCATAGGGAACAAGTTACAACAGTGTGGGACTGAAGTATTTCGTTGAATGAATGGACTCAATAGTGTTCAGAGTGTCAGCCACTTATATTTGTGGTTGCACATATCACCCTGTCTTCACAACAAACAAGAGTCCGTGACGTGCAGTTTATCAGTATCCAATTTCATCTAGAACTTTTGGCTCACTCTTGGTACGACATCGATAAAATATACTGTCAGCAAATGGTACAGCGAAGTCACCCTATCTCGCAACATATACAGATTTCGTATGATAGTTTTCCTTGATCACCATTTTCCCCATTGAAGCATAAACAAAAGATATCTACCACATTAGAAAAGCAATATTTCTCATTTGTACGCTTCAATTGATATTTTGATCCTTAATATCATTCAAACTACTCGAAAATTTCCCAGCTAAGGATTACATGCGTGAAAGCTACAGCAGACATTGAGAGATTTCTGACTGTGGGTGCGGCTGCGACATCTGGATACGAGTGCGAGTTGCTTTGAATAGAGGGTCTGGGGTGTGGATGGGTGTGGGGTATGGGTAGGTGTGGGGTATGGGTGAGTGTGGGGTATGGGTGGGTGTGGGATGCGGGTGTGGGGTGCGGGTGTGGATGTGGATGTGGGTGTGGGTGTGTGGGTGGGTGTTGGTGTGGGCTTGTTCTTCTTCTATCATCGACACCCACACCCACACCCACACCACACACCCACACCCACACCCACACCCATGCACCCACACCCACACCCACACCCATATCGAGATTGCGCTTACTTGACTGAAAGTCGTATTTGATCCCTAACTCCAGTTTTACTCAGCGTATTCGAGCTCGGATTGGTACTGACGAACACAGTTTTTCAAGCTGCGTCTCTGGTGAAAATATCATGGAGAACGATTGATCTTCACTCGAAGTTTCATACATCCAGGGGCTTATGGCCAATAGTGTATTTCATATTTTTAATGATTCGTCAGTTCTTTTTAATCAGATAAGTTTATAATTTGTTGTTCTCTACGATGTTTATCACATTGTCTTCAGATAAACTTGATTATAAGAACTAAAATTCAAGTTCACTTCTAAGAATAGCTCATATATTTCATAGAATCATTCAAGTATCATAACTTTGTATGTTTGTGAAAAGCTCTATAAATAGTTGTTTGATTCTCAACAGTTGCTTCATTAGGAAAAAAAGAATTTCTTTGATTCTATCCATTCATATCTATAGATATGATCAATCTATCAACCAAAACAATAAAAGCAGCAGTACAGACAAATTGCTTGCTTATATATTTTCTAAACGATGAGATGATCAAAAATATCGAATGAAACATACATCTTCTGATATAAGAGACTTGATGCATTAAAATGCTTAAGTAACATTTTAATTATCAATGAAAATTGATTACAAAAAAAGCTGACATATATTATGAAATTAAGGATGTGTTAATCTATTGAATTTGCATGTAAAATATCGATTCAACTTAGAATTTTCAATAGTTTCATTTTATAAAATTTTCTATCTTGCAAAACATAGACGATACATAGAGTACTGCGATAGAACTAGAAAATAAAAAAAGAAATCTTTTTTTCAATTCAAACGATGAGACAATTCTTTGCAAAATAATATTAGTCTATCGAAATCAGGTTATCATCATGTTTTTTGCATAGAGATTTTAAACCCAAATTGTCATTGAACAGAATACAGTTGCAATACAATACTGAGTCAAGCATTGTACTCTTAAACATATATACTCTGTTCTCTATTTTGGTATTGTATCGCTTCCATTTTGTTTATATATATGAAAGAAAACCAATATGAATACGATAAAGAATTGACAAATTGGAATAGTCATCAAAGGCCAACAGAAGTAAGTAATTTCTATATTTTTCAATAGTACAAAAATAAACCATAACTTATTTGATGAAAGCTCAAAAATGTCTATCTAGTATAATGAAATAATTCACTCAGAAAGAATTGTACGACTCAGTGACTATACATACTAGTTAATGTCTTGTTTAAAAAGATATTCTTCAGGATATCTTTTGTTGTGATTTTAGAACTTGATTCTTTGCAAGAGAAATA